TGCAGACAAATTTAATAAATTAAAAAAGACGTTCTAGATGCCTGTTGTTTTTCTTTTTTGAGTCACATCTAATTGTCATTTTCTTATCTACTAATCATAATTTCCATTAAAACTTTTCAAATCATCTTGATATATTCTTTTTTTTTTAAAACAACCTAATGCCGTTATTTGTGCAGAACTGATATACAAATAACTCTAAAACATAATAAAAATCACTAAATTAGGTAAATTTACAGTTCCGTATAAATTGAGATTTCATACGTCAAAAATTTTTTTAAAGTAGTTGTCGGTTTGAATCTCATTTAAAATGAAAACACTTCAATTTAAGGATTGATTTTATCAATAACAGAGCGTAATGTTATCTGAAACTAAAAAAAAAAAGATCTAAAATCTGAACATAATCATATCATCAACTTGTTCGAATAGTTCTAATCATATTTTTTAATTCTTAAAAAATTAAACCCTAACTACAGGTTTTCGTGACAATATCATCAATCAATTGATTATTATTTGTTGTCTAGTTGATGTTCAATAACTTCGACTCGACATATATATATGATAAATAGGGAAAAAAATTGTTTTGATTGTAACTTGTTTGTGAAGCAGCATAAGGATTCAAGGACAAGAAATATTTGACATGAATGTAAATATGAATGTTTAGTAAAGTCTTCTAATTGAGAATGAAGTTTTACACAAACATCTTTGGTAGCTGCTTTTAAAAAATTTTCCTAATCCTTGAGATTTTTTTCTTATTTTGGAATTTCTGTCTGTTACAGCTTTCTCTATTAAACATGAAACATAATTTTCGTCTTTTCATAACACTTCGATCAAATCAACATGTAAATATTCGAATTTATTTATCGTTTACCAAAAGGATCATCTACGAATCTATACCATAGGTTAAGTCTTTATTTTTCAAATGTCATTCTAATCCAGAGATGAAATCAGTACTGGTATACCATAGATTTTTTTTTGCTGTTATTATTTCATAAAGGATGTATAGTGAAACTTTGTTGAGAGTTAATTACAGCAAACATCACTATCTACAGATGAACTAATACTTGAACTCATCAGTTCATTATCTCCAGTGGCGTACGCAGGGGGGCCGAGGGGGCCCGGGTCCCCCTTGAGACGAAAAAGTCCTGGAGGGGGGGTACAGGAAAAAATTTTTTGTGCCATGGCCGGCCCCCCTTGAAAAATTTCTGCGTACACCACTGATTATCTCTATGCATTTTAGACCGGCTGATCTGGCCTATTCAGATCAATACTATCGTTACTCACATCCTCTCGCGATGCTGTACATGATAAAATCACATGTCTGCAAATAGAAATTTACGTAAAGTAAAATAGAGACTACACATAAGACTAGTGTTGTATTGCCTATTTGTCGCTATGGTCAATTGAGGATTTTCCTTGCATGATAAACTTGAAACATGTTGATTTAAAATGTTTTTTGTTTTTAAGATAACTTCGATTGGTCAAGCTAATTCTGCTTTATCCGAAGTAACAAATCAATTGAAAAAATTAAAAGAAGATATTCGTATTCAAATTAATAAAATAAATTCTTTAAACCCTGAAATAACATCAGATCATCTAACTCATGCTAAATCCTTTTTATTTCTTAACAATGAAAATGAATCATCTTGGCTTACTAATCATCATCCATTAACCGGTAGTTCATTATATTCTCATCTTATTACTGAATATGAACATTTACGAGAGTTACTTCTTGCTGAAATTATTCTTCTTCGTACTGAACTTGATCAAAAAGAACCATCACCACCGTATAATTTAAAACAAGAATTAACAAATTTACGTTTACGTAAAAGATATTTATCATTATTATCAAATTTTCCACATAATTTAACATCACGTTCAAGTTTGGATGAAATTCGTCAAACTTATGAAAAATTAACAGTATCATTACGTACACAAGCTCGTGAAAAATTAAAACGTTTATGGGATCAATTAGATGTACCAAATGATCAACGTATTATACCAAAAACACAAGATAATGAAGATGATTATTTAGCTATGAATGATGAAATAAATCGACTTGAAATCTATGTTGAATCAATTCGACCGTTATTAATAAAAATTCAAAAACGAGAATGGTATAAAAAAGAAATGGTCGAATTTGAAAAACATGCAGCTGATCCAGCTAGATTACGTGGAAATTCAACACAATTACTTAAAGAAGAACGATTTCGTATGAAATTTTATTTTTTAATAATTATCATTAAACTTTTCTTTTTTTTGTTTTCTAGGAAAAGATCTTTCACGTGAATTTCCAAAATTAACTGATGATTTACGTCATATGGTTGCTGAATGGGAAGAATCAACTGGAAAAAAATTAATTTATGGTGGTGAATCTTATTTAGAAACAATGAATAAAGAAAAATTAAGTGTAGATTTTGAATTATTACATTTACGATTACTTACAAAATGTCATATTGTTACACAAGGAACAACAGATGATACGATATCAATTACAAGTAGTATTCAATCAGCACCTTCTTCAGCACGCTCAACACCTCTTCCAACTCCGCCAACATCTCCTCCGCCACCATTAACACATAAAACAACAACAACAACAACAAGTCGAATACCAACAATGAGTTTTGTAAACAGTAATAGAAAAATACATAAACAAACATAATTAATTTTTGTAGAAAAATGAATATGTTTATTTTAAAAAGAAAAGGTGTTTTTTTGTTTTTTTATTTTTTATTGAATATAATAATAAAATATTCTTGAATTATTTTAATATATTTCTAACAAAGGAAAATATCGATATGAATCTTTTAAATAACATTTTTATTGTTTTTATATAACTAAAATCATTTAAATATATAAAAGAATATCAAGTTATGTTCATAAAGAAAATAATTAGAATTTACTAATTGATATTAATACCAACGGATTAATATATATATATATATATTTTATTAATGAAAATTAAAATATTACGAAGGATCTTTACGATTTCATTTAATTCGAAATTCTGAATAAAACTATCAACAAACAGCTAGAGACATTTTTTTATCTATTTGTTAGATGAATAATGGGTTTTGTTCATTGTTTCTTTAAACGCTTTTAACTGCATGAGAAAAACAAACTGTTTCATTATATTAATTATTATTCCATTCTTCACAAATGAAAAAATTTTACGAATTCAAACGGTGATTATATCTAAAGAAAGACATTCGTCGCTTCATTTACATTAAATGAGAAAATACCAGTTTCAATTTTCACACATTCAAATTAAATTCTAAACGAATAGCACGTACGTCAAAATCAATGTTCTTCTAAGTATTTTCTCAGTATTGACGTTAAGATGCATTGTGACACCTTAATCTTTTTGTGAAACATAATCTAAAAGGGGTATTGAAATATATAGCGTATCAATTTCTACTCCTCACAGACCATGACAGACATTTCCATTGAGATGTCATAGCCGGGATCGATAGACTGTCACAAACATGGCAGACATCTTAGTAAAGACACATCACAAATATGACAGATACCCATAGGAACGTCTCAGCTTCATCACAGACATAATCATAGGAGTGTCAAAGACCATAACAGATGCTTTAGCCTTGCCCTTCCACTCTCTTCATCCAAGACAGTGACGGACGTTATTGATATAGAATAACAGATCGTATGTCAATAAAGTCTCGTTATGATTTATAAACTACTTCTTTATTGTAGATTTAGAGGGTCAGGTAAAAGTATAATAGAATAATGTGTTCCAAAATAAAATGAATAAAACAATCTCCATACGATTAGCAAGAGTAGCTAGATCATGTTTTACATTTTAAACCCGTAGGGATGCGTTTTAACAACTTGTTTTAAAAAGATTTAACCTTTAAATTTTTTACAAAAATGCATCACATATTTTGCTATAAAATGTTACACAGAAATATGTAATAAATAAATACTGCAAAGATCTACTATACCAATTTTTAAAAGTCGTTTTTCCGAAACTTTTGAGTATTTTTTTTTCTTGCTTTGTACAAATATAAAAAACGTGATAGAGTACATTTAAGAATATAATTTAGTGCGTTCTTTCTTATGATGTACACTGAAGTTTGTTTCAACCAAATGTTTGTACTTTTACATAAACATTATCTTATTAAAACTGACCGAAAACTACCTAAAACTTTGCTTGTTTGACTGGATTTACCTCAATAAAGATCTCTATTAGAGCCCGTCGGGTCCAGAATTTTTGGACCCGGACCGGGACCCGTGCGGGTCCGGGTAGGGTCCGGGTCCTACCCGACGGGGTCTAATCTCTATTCGAATTTTGGCATTTCAGTCTGATGCACTATTCATTTCCCTCGAAATGAAAATACAGTTGAGCTTTATTGATGCTGAAAATGTTTCTAACTGTCGCAAAATCATTGGTTCAAAACCATTATTATGTAAAGTTTGGAACAAGAAATAATTCATTTATATGATAGATAGCGTTATGAATATTTAACTAGCATGATTAAAGTAAACAGACTGCTTTTTAATATATAATAGTTGGTCATATGAAAGTCTCGCAGTAATAAGTACCTAATCTTTTTTTTTTGATAATATTTTCTAGCAAAACTTGTAAAATATTCCTGTAGAAAATTGAATCGTGAATCTTTTTTTAAAGAAAAAAGATTAAACTATGGTGATGCATCTTGCTAATGATAGTAAGAAAATACTTCGAAGGTCATTTATTCTAACTTTTATCATTAAATTCTCTATCAATAAATGAGAAGTTATTTTTTTTTAAATTTTTGTCATGTTAATAAATTCAACAGATTGAGATAAAGAGGATCTATGAAAACTTACCTTCGATTTCTTTTACTAGACGTGACATTACTTCACATTAAATAGAAGAAAAAAAATACATGAAAATCAAAGATTGAAAATGAATAAATCTCTGATTTATTCTAATGAAGAATTTAAGTGATTTTAAATAAAAAAAAACAAAAAAAAAAAGCAATTCAAATTTATTATTATTATCAAGTTAATGTTGTACTTCTTGAATATGTTGAAGTATGAATTATATAATTTGTATGTCTATTATGCAAAAATAAATTTCGAAGTTGAATACGAAAATTTGGTGTTGAAATAAAGAATATATAAAAACTAGTTACAGGATTTGTATAATATAATATTGATGATATAACATGATAAAGAAAAATTTTTGATGAATATTCATAATTATTATCTGCAAATAAAATATCATAAATATGTTCAATACAATTTGGAATTGATGATAATATAATAGCAATTGACATTAATAAAAGCATACGAGCTAATTGTCTATCACTATTTAATGAATTTAATGGATTATGTTTTGTTATTATTTTTAATTGTTTAAATGTTAATAATCCAAATATTGAAAGAAATGTAATTGGTATTATTCCATGTAAAGTTATTTGAAAAACATATAAATAATAATAAGAATATATAATGGAATGTATAACACATTGACCAGTATTTGAAACATTATAATATATTATCAATGGTATACTATGTGATCCAATAATAATAATAATAAATAATATAATTAATCTTGTTCGTTGTTTTCTTGTACTCATTTGTCGTAGACGAACTTTTCTTGATGATAATAAATATCGATCGAATGTTGCCATACAAATACATGTTAATGATATTAAATCAAATGTATGTAATATATAATATCGTAATTTACATAAAATAAATACATTAGTTTTTGTTACTCGATATTGATAACCATCAAATAGAATACGAGTAAAAAGTGGATAAATAATTATAATTAAATTAGCAAAAGATGATGCCTGTAAATATAAAGAACTATTACTAGTTCGATTAATTTGATTATATCTATTGGATTTTTTCCGTGAACGAGACCAAATAGTAAATACACAAACATTTAAAAGATTTCCAATTAAACCAAATATACACATAATAATACCAAAAATAATCATAATCTTATGTGCAATTACATTAAATTGATCCATCGTTTGTGTGTAATACATTCATAAAATATTATTTGTGAAATAAATGACAAGAAAAAGAAGACTTATATTGTATACATCTAGAAAGTAAGCGAAGGTCAATAACAAAACAGAACAATAGAAGTTGGTGTATTCATTCGTTATAAAGACGTCATGAATTTTCTTTAATACATTTAAAATGCTCGCTGTTCACAATATGAGTACTATTTTGTCTTGACGTTCTCTTTTTCTGTCATGATTGAATAGTATTCATCGAATTACTCCTAGGAAAATCTTATTTTTAACATATTTGAACAATACTTGTATAGTCAAACTTAAGAAAAACCTAACAAAAAAAATGAAATATGCCTAACGTATCAATATTTATTCGAATTCTAGTGTTTTTTGATTTTATTCGCCATATGATAAAAAAAGATATAATTTCGTTGTTGAGAAAACCAATTTCTTCCATAGAATAAGCAATTTGTCATATATAAGAGTTCATATTCACAATACTGGACTATCAGCTGAAAAATCTTAATCGAGTAGTATATTCAATACTTCATTGTTATTTTTCAATAATTTGACCTGTGATTTTCTTGAGGTCGAGCCTCTGACGAATACTATTTTTAATTACTAAGTATATTTTTTGATTCAAAATTTTCCCGGACTCTTAATATTATGTTGGTTTTATTCTGAATTACAATTCATATAGTCTATATCTATGAATATGATTCATATCTGTGATCATTTACTACTATATCGAAGAAATCGATTTTCTGAATGATGAAAAAATATTTATTCAAAATTCACGCGCAATTTCTGTCCTAATCATGAAGTATAAAAAAAAAAGAAGAATTCAGATAAATATTGATGTGCTAAGCCTGTTTCAATTTTTATTGATTTTTCTTATATTCTTTTCAACGTAATTTGTCTTAAGTTCAACTACAAAAACTTTTTCAGATATGTCAAAAAAGAGACTTATTGAGATAAATCGACGAACTTTATCTAATCATAATAAAAAGTGAATCCTCAAGACCAAAAAAAGCAACTGCTGAAGTTATGAATTACACGCACTTTAAAGAGCATGAGATTAGAATCGGTTGTATGAGCTTCTCTCTTGTAAGGAAACACAAAAAAGAATGTTTATTGTAAAATAGAACTAATTCCAGAAATACTCTGGATCTCTTCATTAGATATTAATCTTTAATAATATAAGATAGATACGAGTTCCAATAAAAACAAAAAATCAATAGAATTAACATTCGATAACGAAGAGATAACCTCGAAATATAAATTCATTAAAATTTATTTACCTACAAAGATATTCTTCAATTCAATTTAATGATAAATTCTCTTTAAGTTTCCGTTTGTTTCTTTATGAATGATTTATATTCTTTTTTTTTCCATTGTATTTATATGATCTCACATAAAAAAAAAAAATAAAAGAATACATTAATATATGTGGGAGTATGATCATAGTCATCAGCCAATGTTATTTACAAGAAAATTCTTTGTCACCATAGAATCTTCTTGCTTGAGGATGACAATATGTTTTTTTCCTTGTTTGTATAAATCGATCTTATGCGGAGAAAGTTATTAGAAGAATGTGAAGGTCACTATCAAACATGCTGTTATCTGGTATTATCGATAGTAAACAGAAGTGTAATAGTTAGATATAAGAACTTTTCATCGATTATCTATTTTGTTATTTGTTTGAATTTCTTTAGTTAATGTAAATAAGGACATAAACATATATCTATGGGTAATTATTTGTAAATTCTGTTAAACAGTAAAAATAATGAAAAATTGAATAAAAAATATTAATAGTTGATATTCGATAAAAATAATATCTTGAAAAATCTTCTCACTTTTTAAATTGAAGAGACTTAAACAAAAACTAAAGAATATTTGTATTTAGTTATAAACATCGTATTGAAATGACAGAGAAAGATTTCCATTAATTCTATTGAAACATTCAGATGATTAGTAGTGTTATGCACTAGGTTTTTTTCTTTACATAAATTATTTTGATAAATGTGTGTTGAGAAAATTTTCTAATTATAAAACAAAAAAAAGACTATGAATATCTAACTTAATCTAACAATTAAAAAGGACATGTTCAGGATTACACAGTTTCATCATTTTTAGTAATAAACATAAATAATAGGGATGAATAACTTCATATGACACGCACTCATAAGAATACACATTTATCATCTCATTATAATTTTTCTTTTTACTGAATAAACTCGATTTAATATCCACTTCACATAATCCTAAACAAAAATTCAATTGTTTTATCTTTTGTTATTTTCCAATACAATAGTATAGGGATTTTACTATTTTATTCTTTATGTGTACGAAAACTAGATGAACTAAGAAGCTCTAATGGAAATGTAATCTTATAAAACACTTCTGTAATAAAGCGTTCTCTTTTCAATCTCTTGAGTGATTAAAATGATACAGAAGTGATAATATAGGATTAAACTCTTGATCTATAACATAGTATAAATGAATAAAAGAATCATTCGTTGAATTGCTTTAATGATAGAATCGTAGAGAAAAACAAGTCAGATTATAAAGAATTTTAATGCTATCGAGAATGTAAAGAAGAATATAAATAGAATTACTAACAAAGATTCATTATTTTCTTAATCAAATATAGATCGAATCTGCTGAGACTATCAATTGAATTGCCCTTCACGTGTCATGAGTTGCTTAGGCTTTCACTTATAAAAATAAGTTAATTATGAGTGTATGTAGAGCAAATTCATTTGTATTACATTATCTCTTGTAGCCTAATTCGTGTTTTTTTAACTGATGAGAAATCTTTCGTTTATTTTCTCTTCGTTATGTATTCTATGGATTTATCATGTTTTCTATTACTGATAAAGCTAGTGAAAAGGAAATTACGAAGAAGATAGTATTGATATGTGCAAATAAAGTCTAATTTAGAAAGCATGAATAGAAGCATTTTGATTAAAATGATTTTATATATGTTTATGATTTTTCTGAATTTCTAACATATAATCATTGATAATGATAATTGAATTAAATTCATTAACAAAAATATATTTTATCAATAATGTCGCCTTGATCTAACTTACTTTGAGACGACAAGAAGATATAGGGCAGAGACACTTTTCTTTCATAAGGTTATTATAATAATGTGATTACTATGTTTATTAACCTGAAATATCACTCTTTTCTGAGTCGTAAGAAAATAAATTTAATTTTGTTTTTAAATCTTATCAAGTATCATCTAATCATTTTTACATATTTTCCGAATTCTTTATCAATTTTTTTTTTGTATCTAAAAAGACATTCCACTGCCTCTATCGAATGACATATGAAAGAAAAGTTTTCATGTTCATTTAGATCCTTAAAAATCCCGATTTCAGAAATATCCTATTCAAAAAATCGTGTTCTACAGCTATGCTGTGTTGTAAAGGATCTATACTAATATAATTATTGCATTATCAAAATGTGCTGTGTGCGTCAATGACGCATTCTCCTAGCTGCTTTGCAAGTGCCTTAGATGATAGTTATACATAAAAAGACGACAACACAAACTATCGCAAAAATGCCATTTTACATTATTACATGTTTTTTCTCAAAATCTACTTTTTTATAGAAAGAGTGAAGTTCCCATTTTTCTCCCAGACGCTTCGATCGATCGAACTCGAATTTTTTGTGTAAGAACTGGAACTAAACGGGAATGTATGCATTCTGACTCTACGACAGCACGTAATGTATTAGTTGAGATCTATCTACCCCGAAAGTTTCATAATATTACATCGAGCCGTTCTTCAGAAACTCGGAAAAGATGTGCAATGTCGTTTAAGAAATCATCACATTTGTTAGCAATCTAATCTGTATATTCCTCTAATGAGAATTACCTAAGTCCTTTTCTTCTATTATTTTTAAATCACGTCAGTTTACAAAACTGGAATAGACCTTTCTGTGTTTGCCATGCTTTCTTATATTGGTACATTATTAATTAACGGGAAAAGAAAAATTCATGGAGAGTACCTTTTTTTTCCTATTTGATTAAGATAATTGTTCTTCGCTTTGTTTTTTATTCTGTGCAAGTAAAAATATATTTGTTGACTATAAATGACATATTGATACATCTTATTTTTGAATATATTTTTCTTGAGAATCATGAATCTCTATCGCAAAGTTAGTCTAAGTGTTATCCTATTTAATACTTGGCTATTGAATAAATGATCGCCATGTGTTTTTTGTTTTGAAAAATACTGAAGTTTTCTATTTGAAAAGGTAACCTTAATGAAAAAATATAAAGAAACATAAAACCTTAATTCTACATTCTTATAAAATACTATTGAAGCTACAATCTGATAAAAGAAAAAATGTATATGTAATTATATATAGAGTGATCTAAAAAATACTTAACTGAAGAAAAAAATTGAACTTATTTGTCATATTTTGATCAAATGGAATAATATTTTTTATGATTAACAAAGAAATGTTTATAAGTCATGTTCATAAAGTACATGATAAACAAAAAAAACTATTTTGAAGTACTTTACAATTGACTTAGATAAAGAACAGTAGTCTTGCACGACTTATGAAAAAAAGATATATTTATTTCTTAGCTAACAATAGCGATGAATGTAATTTTTTCGATTAATTCTTGACATTATCATTATTCTGTTCTTGTATTTATGTCACAAGTATATGTTGACTTATCTAGTGTCTGCTGAAAGTTTCAGCTATGAGTAATGAGAATTTAATGAGAAAAAACACTCAACTGTTGAGTGTAGTCTAGAATGGTTTTAACTATAATTTGTGCTTATAGTTAAGTAGTTCTTACAATTAGCTCGTTACTATTTTTTGGTGATTTTGCATTCTAGATGCTAGTTAGGTGTCTTTTGAAATTTGTCACTGCACGGGAATATTTTAGCACATTACGTGATATCAAAGAACTCAAAGTGAACCAGAAAAGATAAAAACTAATTGTAAGAAGAGATTATCGTTAGAACTATCGTATACTACACTCGATACTTTTGTAGCTTCCACACTAAACTCTCGTTATCCAGAGATGCAAATTATAGCAACCAATAGATAACTCGATTTGAACGTGAGAACGAAATACAAAGATGAAAAAATAATAATGTCAAGAATTAATCGAACAAAATATATCCATCGCTATTGTTAGCTAAGCAATAAATATATCTTTTTATCACAAGTCATACAAGACTACTGTTCTTTATAACCATAAGTTATGAACATTTCTTTGTCAATCATAAAAACATTATTCCATTTGGTCAAAATATCATGAACATGTGCAGTTTTTTTCCTCAGTTAAGCATCTTCTGGATCACTCATATTACTACTATAAGAAATCATAATATAACACAAATGCTTCATACAATATGGCATAGAAAATAATGTAATACCAATAGACATTGATAAAAGCATACAAGATAATAGATTATCACTATTAGAACAACTCATTCTTATAATTATTCTTATTGATTTCTATGTTAACATTCCAAATAGTGAAACAAATTTAATCGGAATAACATCATAGAAAAAAATTTAAAATTTTTCTAGAAAAAATTAAAATTTTATTTTCTCCTAGGATAATTTAAAATTTTAATTTTAACTGAATATTTTCTAGGGAAAATTAGAATTTTGGTTTCTCCTAGGAGAATTTTCCTGAATATATAATATCAACTTCATTACTTTTATATTTCAAAAATACATAAATTAAACTAGACATTTGAACATGGTTTCGTTTTTGATGAATGACATTTAGTACCACTGTGTATTGTTTCTGTTCGACAACGACATTTCTTTGTTGAACAAGTGTCATTACAGTTACGTGCTTCAATAAGAGTAATTAATCCTGCATTCACATGAGCTTTACAGGCTTGAATGAATGTCATTGTTATTAAAGTTGTTGAATCAACATCACATAAGTCATGAATGTTACAGTTGGATAAATTAAATCAGGGGTCGCAGCGGCCTAGTATGCAAAATCAGGAATTAGGACAGGAATTTTCAAGAAAAAAATCAGGATTCTCAAAACATAGGCACTATTCATCAAAAGTGCACATCATTTCGCAGTAGGAATTACGAAATGTCAAATGGCATTCATTCTCTACTCTATTCCAGCAGTTGACAACATCCTTAAAATGGGAAATCGTACCATTCTCAACAGGAAATCGGTACCCCATAGAATTTTAAGAGAAAATCGTTCTCCCATTGCCTCAGTGTTTCGAACGCATAACAATCACGTAACATAGCTAGCTTAACTCTTAGTTAAACAATTAAACAAAGCGCGAAATGACAAAACAAAAATGCTGAAACATTGTGATGATTTCCAGCTCGTCGATAAGCAATCATAAAATCAACATATATTTCGTTCTAGAAGGTCGAGTGTCAGCAGAAATCGTCAATTCCAAGCAGACATTGTTGGAACATCGTCATGATGTCCCAACGATGTTCTCTGGACTAGACTAGAATAACCCTAAGTTGGCTCGCTTGCCTGAGCCTTTAGGATTGAGTTATGACCACTTTATTGGATTTTAGTCCTATGAGGCCAGGTTATCTACAACAGCAAATATGCGGATTTCGACCTGAAATTTTGTCTATAAATAAATCTAATGTCCACTAAGATACCTTAAAAGTTTCAGACAAAATGAATGCATCCTTCTTAAGATGTTAAATATCCAAATATTCCGATTTTTGTGAATTTTTTTCTCAGAAATAGACGGTTTTTTGAAAACTAAATATCTCAAGGATGCATTCGTTTTGTCTCAACCTTTTAAGGTATCCTCGTGGCCATTAGATTTATTTATAAACAAAATTTCAGGGCGAAATCCACATATTTGCTGTTCCAGATAACCTAGTGTCATAAGTCCAGAATCCATGATAAATTAAGCCCCAAATGGTCAGGTAAGCGAGCCAACTTAGGGTTATTCTAGTCCAGAGGTCTCATGATATAGCCAAAATATCAGGTCAAAAGCAAGCGAACACCTTGAGAAGTTCATTCGTAAGATTCGTCGACGGCAATCCAACGAAGAGAGTTGATTATTCATCGGACTCTCGACTTTCAGATCTACTAACTAACTTGTGCCTGTCTTTTCTTTTCTTTTCTTACTGAATAATGAGACAAGATTTCGTATGAATCTTGTAAAAAAAAAAGATGAATTTTTTCATATATTCACCGACATTTTTCAGTTCATAAAGAACTTTATCTATTCTTCAAACAAGATGAACAACGCGATCATTGAAAAATAGTATCTTCATCAATTCAAGACACAATTTCTGAAACGCCTCCACTGAGACTTAACCGAAATTTTCTAGAGAAATTATTTAGTTTCGAAAAGCACCAAAAAATCAGGAAATCAGGATCTTATACCAAAATCAGGATGAATCAGAACGACTACGAAAAATCAGGAAATCAGTACCGCTGCGAGGCCTGTTTAATAGATCTAGCCCTTAAAACCGTAAGGAGATTATAGCTGTTGTTGTACATAATTGATAAGTGTTCATATTGTTTGATGCTGATTGAATCGATATGATCTTACATGGTAGCACTTTAGGTGTAACATTTATTCTGTCTACTTTATCAATTTTTAAACCAACTAAGTGACCAATTTTTATTCACCCAGAATTTGAGCTGAGAAATCTCCCCAAACATCTCGGAGAATCAATATTATATCATGATATTATGACTGTTTTATAGAAAACTTATCTTGAAATTCGTAATTTAAATCTTCCATGGGTTTTTCAAGTAATTTATAAAATTTCTTCATGAAAATAAGAGAATGACACTTGAATATCTACTTAAATGATATACGCTACGTTTATTTAAATGTACATTTTCATTTCATTCTGATCTTTCATCGATTCTAAAGGATGTAAAAGATATTTTAATTTTTCCTATAGAAAAAATAAAAATATGAAGTTGATACTATATATTTAGGGAAATTTTAAATTCTCCTATAGGGAAAAATTTTAAATTTTTTCTGAATTTCAATTTCTCCTGCAACATATGTATATATATAATATAAATATATTGTTGAACATAGGATTGATCAACAATGATTTGAAACATAAGATATTTACCTGTTACAACATTAATATTATCTGATGATACGAATACTAAATAAAATAATTAATTTTATTCTTACGAGAAGACTATTCTAAATGACACCCACCGTTTGAGCTCATATTGAACCTACAGACAGATTTCTATGAGAATAGCCAAATTCTAAGACTATAAGATCGAATACCGGTCTTTTGATTCAAAATTTTGCCTATGGATGTCAGCTGGAGTAGTGTCTCTATTAGTCGTTTTGAACTTACTTTGTTGTACACGAATATCTTTAAATAATTCGAGTAACTAAGCAATAAGTTTCGATCCTGTTCCATCAATAGCTTAAGACTAATAAATTAATTTTCCTGCTTCATCGACGTTAGTTTTTACCAACATTATTTATTAGAGAAAGTTATTGGAATAATAGACATAAGAACATAGATCAATCGTTCATAACATATTGGTAACAAAATATGAATGTAATTTTTTACCGATTGTTTGACAAATTTTATTAAAACATTGAGCTAATGACAAACAACCTTCTTCATATCGCTTCATTAAGTCAAGAATTTGTTGGTTCTCAAAACGTTAATGTTTTATTTAGTGGAGAAGTGTTCATATGGTCGTCAAGTTGTTTTATCGTAACCATATTGAATCCATAGTCTTCCTTGATTTCATCCATCACTACATATGAATTTGAACTTGATGTAGCAATATTTGTATTGAGTCAGTGGTGTTAGCTCGTGTATTTGAGTGTTTGGGAAGTATAGAAGCCCAATTTTTACATTCATACCCATGTATGCTAATCGTAAGCATGTTTCAGGCCTTTTCACTGCCCGTAACGTTCTTTTCAGAAGTATAAGATAGGGTCGTTACTGTTTAGTTTCTTTCTTTCTTTTCAAGACAAGATTTCTCTAGTAAGATTCTAAAAATGTGTTGATGACAAGAGAAAATTATTTAGGTCGCCTAGACAGAAAACAAAATGTGTCTATGAAAAGGACTAATTAAGAGAATTTTCAATGAAACGGGATGATACCTTTCTAATATATAATTACAATATGTTATTGATGAAAGCTTTAATTTTCTTTTCTCATTGTTAACATTTTTGTTCAGAAAGACAATTCTAATGCTAATAATCGGAAAAGTCACACATTCTTAATTTTATGTCAAACAATGTCATCGTGTTTGTTTGTTTCGACACAGAAAATAGCCTAATTGATTAACTTGAAAAAGTTAAACATAATGAAGACTACATTATCTAAACAAAATCAAGTTTTTTTCTTAGAGATCAAATCTACAAATAAAAATCCAAAAAAAGAAATCTTTCTATTAATCAATGTAAAAGAGATAACTTACAAAGAAAATTTACTAGAGATTACAAAAACTCAAGTTAAAAGTCTTCACTGTTCAGAATAAGGAGGGGTTCATATTAGAGAGAGACATTTCCAGCAAAAATTGCTCCGTCGAACCTGAGACCGTTCATAATTACGAGATGTTCACTAGTGATGGTTTTACTGCATACGTATGATATTAAATTTATTTTAAATATTTATTAGTTATAAAATGCAAAATAATATAATGAAATAGATTTATTATCTTTCTATAATTTATAAAAATTTATTTTTGTTCCTAAATGTATAACTAATATATTTGAATTAAACATAATAGCATTATTTAATTTTGGATGATATTCATGCATTACTTTCAATATACCATCTTTACTAATATGAAAAAGACGTGAAGTAGTTGTTTGTGATACAAGCCATTCATCATATTGAAGTGAACAACAACTAATTCTAGACCATAGTCCAGAACTTCTCATATCAAGTGGAAGTGACCAAAGTCGAGTAAGTGTTAAAGATGATCGAAGTTCAATATCAACAACACCTCCAAAAGATTCTCTAATTATTAAAGCAAGTGTTCTATTATTATATTCAATAGCATGAATAGATTCATGTTGTCTACAAGAATATGGAGGTTGCCATCGTTTAACTGGTCGAATTAATGGTAAAAGTTTAAATTGATATATATTTGAACCTGTTTCAGATGTTGTTAAATAAAGATATGTATCTGAACATGTACAAGATAACCAATCTTTTTCTTCAATTCCATAAATACGTTCAATTGATAAAGTAGTTTCATGAATACGATAAACTTTTTTCTTATCTGTTATAATAATAAAATTCGATAATGTTGATGACCAACACATATCATAAATACATTCAAATTTCCATGGAGATTTCTTAATAAGATTTAAATCTCGATCAAATAAACCTAAATTATTAGATAAACTAATTAAAATTGAATGATCATTACAAGCAAGTTCTGATTGCCATCCATCATTACATTCAATTGTATGATATGGAGATGAAAGAATTGATGTATTTATATTAAATGCATTTGGTTTAAAATCCTTTATAGATATGATATGATTATTTAATGTAAAAGGATGAATATCGATTTGTATGCCTTTTTCTTTGATTTTGTTTATCTCATGTTTAATATCATAAATTGTTGATTTTAAAAATTGAAGATTTTTTTCTGAGAATTTTTCACTTTGAATTGAATTAATAATTGTTGTTTGTGTTTGATCAATATCTTTTCGATATTGATCTATTTTTTGAGTTAAAAATCGTTCAATTTCTTGACATTTTTGTTCATAATAACAATTAATAATTTTATGACAATCATCTTTCCATTTGTCGAGTTTATCACGACTATCTTTAATCAATTTGTCTATATCAAATGTTTTAAATTGATCATTGAGCATTTTGATGTCATCATTTAACGAGTTTAATTCTGATTTTTTTAAATCATTATGTTCTTTCATATGATCAATACACATATTTTTATTACAACAAGAACATAAAGCAGATGACTTGTACTTACATGTTGGAATAGCACATAGCTGAGACATTATTTTAGCAAGAAAAAAAAAAATATGCAAATAGATAACTAATAAAAGAATAGAGAAGTATTTATCATTTTACAAACATGACTGTTATCTTTTGTATATCAATGATACATAATTGTTTCGTTCTTTGAAATGAAAATAAGAATAACAATGATATAATGTTTATTCTAGGCTTGGTTTTTGATAGACAGATGTAGAAAAACAATGCTTCTAGAAACTAAATACAAAAAGAAGTAAGCAAATTGTTTATTGTATTTTTCTTCTATTGACAATGGTTTTTGTGTTTTTTTTTTTTGAAATTCATTGAAATTAAAGTATATATTGCAGTGATCAACAGAAAAAGAAAATCGGAATATCATAATTAGAGGTTAGCAGAGAACAAATTTTTCTGTCCTATCCTATTACCTGACTCCACCTTGACAAGCGACAGGACAAAATATTTTTTGTATCTTCACCTTGTCCTATAGGACAGCAGGAATCCTTATATTAACTTTTGATAAAATCTTTAGTCATAACTAATATTATAAATTCAAAAATTATAGAAATATCTCGAATTATCAGTTTCATGATGTGCTCATCACAAGAAATAATTATATAAAAAATATAAACTAGACTGGCTTTATCATCATTGTCTCAACACAGAATGAATCTTATAAATAAAGTAAATAGAACAATGATTTTGCATCGTTCTAATCAAGAAAATGTTATTCAGAGCTTCACAATGCTTCTTTCAAAATGACAAAAACATTGGATTCTAATATGGATTTATCAAGTTTTGAATTATTTCTTCTTCAACAGCAAAATTACATGATTGAAATCGACTAAACAAATCTGTTTTAAAGTTCTTATGTAATGATTTGTCACTTTGTTGTTGATCTGAGTCAGAGATTAGAATAGGACAATTTTTTCTGTCCTCTCTTGATATCTTATTCAGTAGTATCGAGCAACAGGACAAGACGAAAGTTTTAGCATCATCCTGTCCTATGGGATAGGACAAGTTAGAACACTAGGACTATCCTGTTTTATACTCAACTCTGATTACACTATCGGTTACCGTCGAACTTGATCTGTAATAACACTGAAGTATCATATTCATTTCTGTTAAGAAATACTTTTTTAGAGTTGCGAAGTTTCTTCAAAATTTTTGATGCACTTCTTTCGCTTCTGATTTTGCTAAGGAAAATATTTTGTGTGACTTGTCTTCTAAATTTTCCTTTTTTTTGAATTTTTATTCCTAAGAAAACATTCATTTCTAATGGAAACAATTAGATGTTTGACTAGCAAAAGTTCTATCGAAAATTTCATTGGTTTGATTTGACATTATAAAATATAAGTAAATAATTGATATCTAAATCAACCTTTTATTTTGCTTACAACAAGAGCTCTATTTCAATAATAAAAGTCATCAATTTTTTCGATATCATTTATTGTTAATCAAAATTGACTTTTTCATATGAATGGAAATTTGATGATGTAGGTTAGATTTTCAATGTCGATGACATTTACTTGACTATAGATCAAATAACACATGCCTTATTTGCGTTTTATTTATTGTTGTACTTGAAAAATGAAAGTTTGATATTGAAATTTTATAGGACATGAAAACTATATACTGGATTTGTATAGAATCACAAAATGATTGTGCGTAATTATCATGAGGTATAATTACATTATAAAATTATTAAGTTTTCAAGTGAACTTGATTTTACATAGAATATTCTACGAGTCCCTTGATCTATATATGCGACCGATTTCACATAGAAATTCTACTCTTCGATTTTACAATATACATTTAAAGCTGGATCGAAAATTCAGTAAAATGATCCTAAAGTAACTTCAAAGACTCGTACGGAAGAACTCTTATTTTTGACTTTTCTTAGTGTTACTGAAGCCTTTCTATGATCTTCTTCGGAGCTCAAAAAGTGAGTATCAATGCGGATAGTTCCTTCGTGAGCAAAGTGAATAATAATATTTCACCTTAGTATCGATGTAAAAGAACGCTCAAATTAGGACAAAATAAGGACTATTAAGCCTATTATCTTCATATTATTTTGAAAAGAAGATTCATAAAAGTTAGGCAGCATTCAAAATTATTTTGAAAAACTTCAATGATGACCTATCGAGAAATAGATTTAAACATGTAATTAGTTTAGACTTCCTATTAGATATTCTTAGAATCATATTTCTTACTCTGAACTATTATAATGACAAAAGTGTAATCAATTAATGTAACTAATTAAAAAGAAAGAACCACTCTGCGTTTAGCGCCTTTTATGAATTTCTAAAACCGTGTTTAAATTGCTGCTATTAGGAACGTATTAGGTAATGGAAATAATGATAGTGCTGACGGCGATGCAGGTGACGGAGATATATTAATTAATTGATGTGATGGAAGTAATGGACATATAGGACGTGATGGAAATGATGGAGATTTGAGAAATAATCTAGATATAGACGGAAGTGAAGTTTATCGAATTGATGAATATGAAAAAAAAAATTATTAAAGAAAATTTTATTGAGATAATGGAGATCTAAGAGTTAATAGGGATATTCGATGCAACACAGACATTAGTGCTTTTTCTTATAGTAAAAGTACACAAAAAAAAAACTATACAATTACACCGGCGAAATCTCTAAAAACACTGTAATCGCTTCATGAATCGGATGTGGTTACTGACACCACAGAATCTTGTTATCAGGATCTGCACACATTTCGAAGGCATCTCGTCCGTTGAGGATGACATCGAATCCATTTTCTTCTATACCGTCGTAAAATTCATTAATTTTAATATTTCCATAACCTCCATCAGTTTCTACATCTGCATTACATCAAGTACTGTCAATATGTAAGCATGATGTACATTTTCTCCATTACCTCGTAGATCTTCATTATCACCATTAACTCTAATATATTTGCAGTACTTCCATAATCTATTTTATATTCCATAGAAGAATTTCGAGCAAATTTTCTAAAAACTCATTGAGATTTGTCCGAAATTTCAAAGGAATTTCCTGGAAATGCATAAAAAGCATCTAGTTCAATTCTGACAGTTACTTTAAAAAAAAAGAGATTAAGTTTCCAATAAAAAACAAAGAGTTAATGGATTTATTTTTAAAAAAACGTTTATTTGGTTGAAAAAACTTGTTGAGGCTGCTAGGTTTTCCAATTGATATTTATGTAAGTTCAAGAAGTTGTCGAATTCATATGTGTATTCAGTTGAAATCCTTTCGATATTTCGCAATTCCTACATAAAAACAAACGAAGATGCTTTGACCCTTTTACGATTAATATAAGTCAACTCTTGTAATTAATATAAAGGGTAAAGTGTTCTTTCTATGGCTTGCTTATACTACTGAAGAACAATCATCATTTTCATCTTTTTTCTATGAAATAAGATACGCAGGTCAATGATTTCGACTCCCCGGATCTGTGAATTTCCGGCAGATTTCGACTTAAAAACTCGGAAAAATAGGAGAAATTTTGAACTCATAATCTGCTGATCATATGCAGTGACTAAATGTTTCTAGTTCCCGTTGTAACCGAGTACAGCCAACCACTGGATTCGACCATCAAATTTCTGCTTTAAAGTCATTTGTTTCAATGGGAATGACAATGATCTTTTATTTTGTTGTAAGGTTTATATATAAACTGATATACATCTTGATGAATTTGAACTTATAAACAGATAATTAACTACAAAAAGAAGATTACAACCGATTATAGAGGAATATTTTAAGTTTACAAGATAATAATTATATTCTTGTATGAAATTATTTATGCGATAAAATAAAAATAAATGTTGATATGTCGATCAGAATTGACTATCTTCAGAGCGTTGGTGTTACATAAGTATAAATAACGTTAATATTAACCATCTAAGCGCCATCTCTGTTCTTTCACAACAGAGATGCAGACGAGGGGCGCTAGGTACTGTTTCCTACTAGTATTCTTTAGTTATAGTCTATCGGTCCCACTCTCATCAAAACACAAAAAAAAGAAAGCATATCTACAGTTTAAATAAGGATCATATATGTTTATGTAACAACAAAGTTGTAAAACAGGTCAATATGACATGAATAAATTCTCTTTGTTGATTGCATTGAATATTTATAATTGTTTAATAAAAATTTACTAAAGCTGTCTATCTCTATGAAATACTTTGTCAGACATCAAACTAAATACTAATGATTCTAAATATAAGCTTAATTGCTTTCTTGTTTTTTTTCTTCATTTCTTAGCTACTTTTTGGAGATTACATTGAAAACAAGGTCCATTATATAACTAGTTTCAGAATTAATTCATGTGCCGTATAATTATCGAAGTATGACTAAGAAAAGAAAACTGTTTTACTCTACATATGTATAGAGAGGAAGGCATTTGTAATGTTTCATTGAGATATGAAATGTCATTAATTTTTTTTAATTAGTTATCAATTTCAAATAGAATTTATTCATGTGAAATATTAATTCAAACTTTCTTATCAATATCTATTTTTATTTTATTAAATACATAATATCGAATAGGAAAAGAACTTTTATCTTGGTAAACTAATGAACGAGTCCTTGAATATAATAAGATCAAAGAATTCCCTTTCAAGAAAGTTCATTTTAATCGAGAGCAGAATGTTGTAATTATTTTTTGTGAAATAAGAATTTGATTCTTGACAAGGATAAAAACAGAATACTTTCAGAGTTAAAATACATATGAGTAAATCATTAGTGTATCACATATTGTTTACTAGTTTACTTAAGATGGGCATGCTTCAATTTCATCTATAGAATTTATTCTGTCCTTCTTATATGAAATACACGTCAAAGAAACTATTAATATTAGACTCTGTGTTCGTATTTGTCAACTCTTAATGAATTGAATGTGTTTGAAACAAAGACATCTTCTGCTTGTGAAGACATTTTATAGTGTTTCGAAAAGT